ATTCTCGATATTTCCGACTCAATATCTTGGAAAAAAAAACTACTTCCGAAAGATTTTAACTGAACATTTTTGTATCATACTATTTGAAAATCAGCTGTTGGTTTTTTAATGTTTTACACTATTGTTCAATTATTGTTACCATATACAAGCTAATTCCAATAATGTTAACCAGGACGCATGCTCACAAATAAATCTAAATTTTAAAATCACGGTAAGTCGTTTCCAAAAAAATCATTATATAACTGATTAAATAGTTTTATATTTTTTTTAAGCGAAGCTTTTTATTTAAACTTTGGAAGAACTAAGAAGATTCCGTATTTAAAGGTCGTCTTGGGAAAAATGTGGTTTTGGTTTGACGGTTAATCCGCTCATTACAAAATAATGAACCCACCAAGGCTGAGAGGATCTGGGTCGCTGTCTTCCTAGAAAGTCAACATCGAATAAATGTTGTCGTGTTCTACATGCTGCTGGGTCGTGAGGCGAACATTACCTCTGGGAGATTCTGGGACTCAAGTTTCATGTTTGTTTTATAAGAAAACAAACAGACCATGTCCAACTGCATGTAGCCAATAAAAATGCATTTTTATGAGATTTGTTCAATGAATATCCAGTAAAATAAAGCAAAGAATTTGAATTAATATATTTTACTTCAGCTTTAATTTGAAATAGTTTTGTATAACTTTATGGGGTTTTACACCCGTTTTTCAATATTTAGTGACAGACTTCAGTTATAATTATTAATATAACACTGTTTAATGTACGATTTTCAAAATTATTTAAATTTGTAATGTTTAAAATAAAACCTAAAGCATTACAAACATTTAAACAAACATTACATTACATTAAACAGTAAACATTTAAACATTAAATTTGTAAACTTTAATGTTTAATTACAAATTATTTAAATTTATTTAAATTATTTATGTAAATTGAGTCACTTTTTTGATCGGTGGCTTTTGTTTTAGAGTGTATATACTAAATTGCGTGTAAATATGGTTTATATTTTAATTTTATTTTTGCTTAAGTCATGTCATAAAAATTTACGTTTGAGTAAAATTCTCTAAGAAAATCTTTATCTTCTATGCCATATTACATTCCTACTGTCAGGTAACGAATATTATATATCCAGGTACATTTGTGAGAGGCAGTCATTGATAGTATGTACAGCGTAAAGCTTCAATCTTGGCTTCTGGACATTTTAATTTTAATACGAGATTCACATGAAGTTTATAGACTCCAAGAAAAATGTTTGGTACTACAATTATTAATTTAGAGAATATTTAAAGATCTAAAAACTCACTTTCATACTGCAAGAAATACAGATATTTTACAGCTCTAGCCTTAAACGTTTAACTGTATAGGCTTAGCATAAGTTTTTTTTTTTTTTATTTGTTTATTCAAATCATGTGGATTTTACAAACCTATTTCAGAAAAATGAGCAATACAAACTCTACATTAATTTTTTAACTCCGCATCACTAAACATGTTTTGTTTTTTGTACAAATATCTTGGGCTCATGAAACAAAATTCATATTTTTATTTACCCGTCTAGCCAAACTTGGCTCATTATTCTTTGATGTGAACACGACTATTCAATACTGATACATAATTTTTGTAAAGAAGCTTCAATGAAATTGCATAAAATCTAATAAAATATATTTATTTCTGTTCTAACCAGACGTGTCAAAACATCCTGCACCAGCTAGGAAGAACTTAAACAGTTATTAAAAGTGCAATACTTAAACCTAGTTAGACTTAACTAAAGTTGTTGTCAACGAATGAGTTCTACTGTAGGGTTAACAATAGTTAAATAGTCCAACTCCGAGAGGACTTTTAGTTCATTTAAAAAATATTTTTGAAAGTAAGGTGTGGCGGAAGGCAATGATGTATTTTGGTGAAGGGGCATTTCCGAGATCGTGTTGGACCTATATATTGCACGAGACAGACACATTAAGCGGGAAGCAAACTTATGATTAATTTGGACAGTGCGCGAAGACGCTGTAGGCCGTAACTTGGTTATTATCAAACTTGGTCGTGTCACTTACCAGAACTGGGGACATAACTAACATTCGCGCCAACTTTTGCCGTGCCGCCGGCCGGACGACTTCAACTTTGCATTCCCTCTTACATTCCCGACTAAAGTATAAAGTTATAATTGTGCGTCCGAACAGACAATGGATTCCTGATATAATGCAGTGCATGCACTCCAACAATCCAATAACCTTTAATAACATTCAATTAGTAAATCCTGAGAACATCCTATGAGTCTTTATGATCCATACGTAATCTTGGTTTTGCACCAATACGAATAATGATAATTTAATGAACGCTACTTATTAAACCTTTAAATTATTTATTGGATTTAATAAATTTTACCTTAGTGTTGTTTTTGAGAAAGTTATATAAATATCTCCTTAAAAACTTTATAGTTAATAGTTTATGGGACAAACAATAGTTGACTGTGTTCATATACTAGTATTACACGAAAATTACCGAAACCATCCTATTGTAAATGTGCAAAAGGATAATTTAACCTTCTATATATAAAGACAAAAACATTTCCATTTGGTCGCATAAGACTAAACATGCTCAATTATTTAACATAATTCTAAGAAATCAAAACTGGGGAATGTAGGGAGAAGACCTTTAAATGTTTCTTTTATGCGGAGACTTTTCCCTATTCTTTGCGCTACAATCAATGTTATTAACCTGAAGCTTAGGGACTTTTCCTATGGATTCAGGTTCTTAGAATATATTTCAATGTAAAATAGTTCAAAACGGTTTGTCAGGAGATTTATTACTTACATCTACTATGAATCACTTTATACCAAAGGCAAAAAGGTTTACGGTATAATAACTTGAAATCAAACAAACATTGAATATTGTTGTAAAGAGTAGATAAACATTGACTTTATTTAGGACAAGGTCGCATTTCTTTGGTTATTTAGTGTAAGTAAAAACCCCCGATTATACTACTCGTACAAGTAAAAGTTGATTTCGAGTTAATCATGTGTTTCTAACCACTATTAATAGTCTTCAAATTAATCTTTTCAGAAAAGGAAAACGTCATATTTAGTATAGTGTCAAATTAGTGGTGCTGTTTATAAGGATTTCGTTAACGATTATTTCAATTTTTGTAACACTCTGTCATAAAAAGTTGTTATATATTTCAGCTAAATGTACCTTGGATTATTCTCATTGTTTGAGTTTATGTGATAACTATTAGCATATAATTAAGCAAAATATTAATGATTTACCCTAAGGCCAAATTGTCAAATTCCAAAATTAAACCTATTTTTATACAGGGTGTTTTTTTAAAAACTTGCATCTTTATTTATGTAAAAACCGCAATAGATAGAAATATTCAGTTTGCAGGAATCATCTATTGACGTAGGGGGACCAATTGTTTTGAATTCAACGTTACATTCACATTCCCCCCCTTTCCCCCCCTGCCCCCAACTTAATTTTTTTAAATAGCAAGGTACCCCTTGTGACATATCAAATAAAAGAGCATGAAAAAAGAAAATGTTTGATGAAAAAAAAATTGAAAATCGGTTCATAAATTTGTGAGATATTCCCCACCTTACCCCCCCCCCCCGGAACTTAATTTTTTTTTAATAGCAAAGTACCCCTTGTGACATATCAAATGAAAGAGCATAAAAAAAGAAAAATTTTGGTGAAATTTATTTTTCATTTGATATGTCACAAGGGTGGGTACCTTGCTATTAAAAAAACAAGTTATGGGTAGGGGAAAAGGGGGGTGATTATCTCACAAATTCATAAGCCGATTTTAATTTTTTTTTCACCAAAAATTTTCTTTTTTCATGCTCTTTCATTTGATATGTCACAAGGGGTACTTTGCTATTAAAAAAAATAAGTTCCGGGGGGGTGAGGGGGGGAATATCTCACAAATTTATGAACCGATTTTCAATTTTTTTTCATCAAACATTTTCTTTTTTTATGCTCTTTTATTTGATATGTCACAAGGGGTACCTTGCTATTTAAAAAAAATAAGTTGGGGGGCAGGGGGGGAAAGGGGGGGAATGTGAATGTAACGTTGAATTCAAAACAATTGGCCCCCCTACGTCAATAGATGATTCCCGCAAACTGCATATTTTTATCTATTGCGGTTTTTACATAAATAAAGATGCAAGTTTTTAAAAAAACACCCTGTATAGCTCTAAATATATCTTCTTGTGCCCTTAATTTAGAAAAACCCTGTTTTCCCACAGGAAATTGGGAAACAGTTCTCGATTCCTAATTGGTTGGTCGTGTTTATTGAAACCAGACGAACGCCCAAACACATGTCAGCTACTAACAGCTGTTTTTGTTTGCTCAGTTCCCGCCAACTACTACAATAAACAAATCACAATCCGCTAAACCCTTACAACCACAAACCTGACAGCCAGGACAGCACTCTATTCAACGCCACAGATCTGGTTTCTATTGTGAATAGAATGATTGGTATTATAAATAAATTTTAAAATAGTTAACATTTAGCTACCAACATTTTGTATGTCTTAGAGAGTATGTCTGTTTAGGTCAAATTATTTTAAATTTGATACTCATATCAAAACAACAGCTATTAATTTCTAGAAAAATAAATATTAATTTTAAACATAGTTAACTATTGCAGATTAACTATGTGACATACCTGATCAACTGAACACTTTTTACTAATAACTCAGGGCCAAAACTTATTTCCTAAAAACTGCCAAGAGTAGTCATGTGTAAACATTCCATAAACTCCAAGGTCAAACGTCACACGGCAGAAAACAGCTGTATGACTTTTTCTCGATCCATTCGTAGTGTAAATTCGTTGCTAAAAAACTGGTTATTCCACTATAGTTTGACTGATTTATATTGTATTTTATCTGAAGACATGTTGAAAAGGACATATTGAAAAACATATACACAAACGTGTAGAGGTTTTCAAATGTGTACAAACTATCACAAATTTAGCCCAGGAATAAAAAAAGGTTCATGACACAAGAGCGTGTTAACGATTTAATATTTTTATGATCAAATTATTATTTTGGCTAAATTAACAAAGGAACTTTGATTGGTTACAAATACAGTAACTGTACTAGAATACACATCACTGTATTACACGATTCAGTCACAGTTAAGTTAGTGTACATCAAGTAGGTTCACTGACACTGGACTCACTGCGTGGAGGCTGCGCAGTTCTGTTGAACAGTTTTGGTGTATTTAGAAGTCTCCAGCCTCGCATTTTTTAAAACCTTTTCAACCTTCCTGAGGATCACCTTCCTGTCCTTCATCTTGTCCAGGTTCTGGTCTCTGGTGAGGATCCACCCTGACGCTGAGGAATAAATACAATATTGTGTAATAGTTATACATGTTACCAGTCCCAAAGTCCCAAATGCACTTTGATGGATATAATTGAGTGTTGTATGTACATTACTTAGATTACGTATGATCCAGTCAATCTATATCTCTACTTGAAAGACAGATGATAATATTAATGATTCAATCAGTTGGTTTTGGGTGGAGTGAACCATATTTATAATAAAGAAAACAATAAGTGCTATGTCTTAGGTGTTGATGGTCACCCATATAGATTAGACTGGAAATTTCCTATGAGGAAAGTTTTATTCGATTTGTAACTTAAGAGTTTAAGCAAGAAGATTGTACAGGGTGGGGCAGGGAAGTATCCCTAATTTTAAAGGTAAATTAAAAGACAACCAAAAATGTTAGAGCCAATCTTTTTATTGAGATTAAAAGGTTACATCTGGGAGTTTATTTTAATATAACTTTACTTGGTTTTAAACAGCATATCCTGCAAGTGGTGTCCCTAATCTTAAATGCATTACTGTATTCTTGTTCTGGAGTTTATAATAACTTTGTGAAGCATGTGTTGTGGAAAGAGGCAACATTCAAGGTGAATTGCATCCTTCAAGGCATCTAGGGTCTTCCCTTGAACTACCCTAGGCTTAGCATCACTCCAATAGAACACATTCTGCTTATTTACCCGCTCCAGGAATATGGAAGTGTGCCTCGTCACTAAACAAAACCCGAGCAGCATGAGGTAGTCCCGCAATTAAGATTTCACATGCCTGCATTCGTTGTTGCCAGTCCCTTTGTGTGCTTTTATGAGCAGCTACCCTCCTGTATAGATGGAGGTGTAGGTCCTCATGGAGAATACGAGGCACAGTACGATTAGACAACGCCAGCGCGGATGCATGCTTACAAGGAGAACTTTGAGGAGACTGCAAAATCGATCTTCTGACAAGGTCCATGTTTTCAGGACTCCGGACCGTTCTTTGAGCTCCAAATATCCTTCGCAATACACCACCACATTCACGAAAGTAATTCACCCACACCAAATTGTAACAGCTTTGCGACAGGCCACCCGATAACCCGACAGCCAATGGTAGCTGCACAGCAACAATAGACAGATTTTTGAAAAAATACATCTCGAGTGCAAAAGCACATTGGTCACTCGAACAAGCCATATCTACTACTGATAGTGATATTTTTAGAAATTCCCAAAACAAAAGCTTCATTTGAGCCTAACCCCATTCCTCCAGCACACTCCCACTACTCACAGTACCATCTTAAAAGTAGGGATATTTCCCTGCCCCACCCTTAACATTTCCTTCAGTTTAAAAATAACATGTTCTATTTGTTATATTATTTTTCTACGCATATTGTTTGCCGGAATATCGAAGGCTCTAAATTCATTACATTCTCTCCCATTTTATCCTAAAGGGGCTTGCTCAAATTCATGTAGATCTTCTTTTTTGGCCAATTTCTTTGTTTCGAGATAGTATTTCAATATGAAACGAAAGGAAACACCAATGTCTGGTATCTCATCTGTATCTTGTAGTAGCAAACGAGGTTGTTTATTGTACATGCATTTTTTGTTTGTTATTTTTATATAAATTTAATAAATAACAGAATATTCTGTTTTTATTATTATGGCGTAGCTTTGGTTGTAAACACGGGCATATACTTGTCTTACTTCCCGGAGATTATTACACCCTGATTGAGAAATGTCTTAATAGGACACTTCTTACAAAGGTATTTATCGTGTTGATGAAATTAGTTGACAAATAATCAAACCAAAAATATTAATTACTCAATATTAATAGATAATTAAACCAGAACCGTAGTACACATCTGCAACCTTACAACACATATAATGCAAACGTTTCATGAAAATATGTACTTTAAAATACCATTAATTGTATTGTGTTTTTAATTGAATATATTATTATGGAGTTACATAATATCATACTCACTCTCGTGGTGATGTAGCAGGTCTCTACAGAAGTATACGACGGCCCATCTGTCATAGTCCGTGTCTAGGATGTGTAAAGGGAATGTCTTCGTTGCATTATCTACAAAAACAATAATAAATGCGGGCATATGTAATACTTTGTAAAATAAATGTATTTGGAAGTATTGTTTTTTAAGTTCTTTGGCTCATAATATTGATTATTTTGAAGAACACAAATTAAAATATCTTATAGTTGTCTAATACTTTACTTCTAATATCCTTACTAACCTTTTCACATATACTTGACCTCTTTATCAAAATATTCACTCGTTTGAAAAAAGCTAAGAATAAAAAATGAATAATGTTAGCAACAAACTTTAAACAATCAAATAATTATTATTCAAAATTACGCCTAAAAACCTGTACAATTGGAGTGTTTACCTGATATAACAAATGTGACCTTCAGATGACCCTGACGAAGGTCTGGATTCATCGGCACTGCTGAGCCGTTGATGCTGCTTCTGTACCCTGGACTGAGATTTACAACTGTCACAGGTTAGAATGTACTAAATAATAAATAGTAGTGTAATAGATAGTTACCACCACAACTGAGTCCCTCCCTTCACTAATCATAATAAATGTTCTTTTAAACCTATCAATGTCTTTCATTCTCTAAATCGTATTGCGTTACATCGTATATTTCAATTATTTATTTAAAAAAATTATGGAATTCAATTACGACAATATACTATATCTATTTAAGAAGAGAAGCCTACGGTTTTCCCCCATAGGTTTTTTTTTCATTCTTTTACGAACTTTATGTGGAATTAGCTTAGCAAGTAAATACACAAAAGGGATCTCTTATTCAAGATCCTCTCATTCTTCCAAGATTTTCTATAAATTCAGAGATCATTATTTTCATAAAATTATAGTTTTTATTTTTTTTAACAACGTATATTAATGGAAGTGATTTTTGTATATAATTGTTAAAAACCAGAACTTAACAGTAATCTATTTAGGCTAACATTCTGAGTTAAGTTGAAGTTTTTAATAAGGTCATGCTACAACAGGTCACGCTGTATATTTTCACTAACTAAAATTATTACAGGTGCTCTGCACAGTTACCTCACCTGGGTATCTGCCAGTTGTATACGTCCACGTGTTGTAGTGAAGTGTTGTAGGAGTATCTAGCAGTCACACACTTGCCCTTGCCTTGGATAGACTCGGTACCGAAACTGGCGTACCCGTACCACGTGCCCATATACTGTATATACTATGTACAATGTAGGGAGCCTCACCTGGGTATCTGCCAGTTGTATACGTCCACGTGTTGTAGTGAAGTGTTGTAGGAGTATCTAGCAGTCACACACTTGCCCTTGCCTTGGGTAGACTCGGTACCGAAACTGGCGTACCCGTACCACGTGCCCATATACTGTACCACAAACATAACACTTGAGTTTTGAATTCAAAGTATTATACCAAAACTGAAAAAACTCTTATTCTAAAATTGCATTGCATTTTGTATCCGGGTTAAAAAATACGTTAAACTTAATTGGTTAATTTAACACAATTGAAATGTATTCTATACAACTTTAAATTGAATTTAGTTAGAATAGATTTATATGTCATGTTTAATATAATATGTTGTTAGCTTTTAAATGAAATATTTTATTTATTTTGTTAAAGGTTCAGTAGTAATGCAACATAACAACTTTAGCTTCGTCTTGCGCTAAAGCATAAACATTGCGTTTCGTTTTTATCTAAAATATCTTTCCATAAATTGTTAAGTGAAATCCATACTTAATAACTTTTGTTATCCTACTTGTATAAAAAAACAAATTGCTTGTTTAAAAAAAAATAAATTTCAATATATTTTAGACGATACATTTCCATAAAGGATCAATCGCCTTTATCTCCTCCGATTTCGCAAATTTAACTAATAGATTTACAACAAAAATAAGTTATGTATTTATAACTATTCATGTATTTATGTACAAAACGACTAAAGGATAATTTGATTTGATTTGATGAGATTGGAAAATTTAAACAGAAGTAATTGTTAATATATCAAAACTTATCTGTAACCCTTACAATAAAGAATGAAGTGTGTATAACTTAATTGCCACATTTAAATTAGAACCGGTGCTGTACAGTTTAGCATGTAATCTAAGCTTACCTTGTGTATGTCGAAGTTTTGCTTGACCTGCATCTGAGGACACTTCCCTGGAGTTATTACATGAGCCTCTCCTTGTAGCCACAAACACCATTGTAGTACAGTTACCATCACCACGACCACACAGCTCGACCTGGCACAGAACAAACACAATAACTGAATAGTCACGGCATAACTTATATTTTCATTTGTTTGTGTTTGTGCATTTCTAATAAAAAAATAAAATTTTAGACCACTGAATACATCTACATTTTGTTAACATTCCATGTACACTTACAGTAATAAAATAAGATAAAATGAATAGAATATGAAACAAAGACTCACATGGTATAAGAGCAGAATTGAATACAGCGCAAGTTGAGGAGAGGACCGGAGGTATAATGAACTGAGACTTCCACTTGGTCTCATTCAGCAAACCACTGACACCTTGGCCTAGCGAGTAATCTCCTCAAATAATTAGAGAAAGTTGAATGTACGGGGAATTCTTTCATGATGTATAAATTGTAGGAAACCTCCTACATTATTTAAACAACTACGAAGACCTTGTAATACTTTTTACTGGACCGTATAGCTACATTTATATTTAATGCCGTTCAATACTTGGATGTTATTGAGAAGTGAATCTGTATTCATTTCATAGTAACATACAAGTTATTGAAATTTGTTATTACACATAAATGAAATAAGTAAAAAGTAGGCTTTTGCCACAAATACCAGCCCTGCAAACGTCCAACCTCCTCTAGATGTGGCTGGATTCGAAGTAACGAGAAAGTTACAAACTGTGACTAAGTCCAGAGTAAGTTAATATTTGTTGTGTACTATTATAATGCTCGGTAAAACAAACTGAAATATAAATATATAAAAATAAGCCATGTTCTATTTTGAAGTATCTTTGTTTATATATTTTTCAACCAAACCGTTCATACTAAAATGAACAAACTAACTACAACGAGCTAACTACATATTCTACTGGTGCTGAACTGGCCATAGATACAAAATATGTTTTAATTTATTTGTTATATTTGACATTTTATCATCGTTAGTTTTTTTTTCGTGATAAATTAAATTTAACGGGTTTTGGAGTAAAATTAACCAGAAGGCAACTGAAAATTCAAAATTTATTTTCCTTCAGTCACCCGACAAAGTGGGCTTCCTTGCACTGATTATGGTACAGAAAGCTGCTAATTGCTGCATTTACTTACTTTGCTGCACACTTTTTACTTTGTCGCACACCAGTATTCCAACCAAACAACACAAAACAGCGTGCTTTTATTATGCACGTAATCCGTGTACGCTTGGAAATAGGTTTGACTACGATCATCTGGTGCAGTTGTTTCTCATTTCGTTCAACGCTTGGATTTAACCTAACCTAAACGGTGTTTTTAGTGTTTGAAAGATGATTTCTATGCTTTAAAATAACTATAGGGCAAATATAATGTGTAATGCGAGAGCAATGTGCCTTTGCTGTATTACAACAAATAAGTTAACATTAAGTTTCTTCAGTTAATAATAATGAAAATATAATATTTCTTAAATAATGTTTCTAGACTTGTTGAACTACTATAAGATGAAAAATATAATATTACTATTTCAACTCAACTCAACACAAAGTATATCTTTTGTCATGTAATGTATGAGAGTATATCTTTATTTAATGATATTGAATGTGTAAAGCTGCAGGTTCTTATGAAGAAAGTCGTAGATCAGAAGTAATGGCAAGTCTGGGAAGTCTTTGTATGTATCGCTTTGTCGCGAGTTATATGGGCCATAACCCTGAAATGGCTTTTAGTTGTCCAACATTTAGTTCACAGCAGCCCACTCCAAGTTAACTGGTTAGGTGACAAACTACCTGCGTCAAGAACGAAACCTTTACTTCCTTGCAGCTGGCAGTTCTCTTCAAATACCATCGCCAGTAAGTGCTATCACTAGGGTGTAATGTTTTTAAGGAATCTAGTCTCGCTAGGATTGATTTTTCTCACGTATTCAAATGGCATTCGTAAACACTCGTAGATAAAAATATAAGTAAAATAATAGTTTGTATCGTAATGTACAGCGAGTTATATGAATCGTTGCAGCACATATGCATAAAGAAAATTTCTGATTTCTTTATTGGTTGTTTATCAAAACAGGTTTATAAAAAAAAGAAAATTTGTATTAGGACCAAAGCCTAAAAATAGCATCATACTCAATCAGTACTTAGATGAAATGCTAAAAGAAACACGCCAAACTTTTTGTTATATTTTAAAGACCATGAAATAAGAATGATTACCAAACGGCATAATGGTGTATCTACTAACCAGCATTTCACATTAATAGGTTAATGCAGTCAACGTACCGCGTTTAGCACTCTGAATACCTTGATTGCCAATACGTGTACAGTAATGTAATAGAATAAACTACTGTATTCGTCTTTTTAGCTCAATCGATTGCTTGATATTGGTGTTGAATACATTTTCAAATAGCAATTTTTAGAGGCTAATTTTTGAGATACAAACAACGCTGTCAGCTAAAATGAATGGAAATGTTTTTTAATCTTAATTTTAACGTCCAAATAGTGTACATAACTAAGCCATTTCCAGCAGAACAGAATTGATTTTAGAGTGACATAAAAAGTTTAAGCACCATCCAAACCCTTTTTTGGATTCGAAATTTAAAGTTTATGCTATTCGTTTGCTGCCTTGTTATCAACAAAGTCTATGTAGGTTGTGCGCTAATAATGTAGGAAGGGGGTTGATAGTAATGTATATTTCTAGCACAGAGACGTAAGATGTATAAATTAATTACGAGTACTCTAATTTACTACTCTAATTTCGCTAGTGGCTACATGTTGACATCGAAGAAACAATTTCTTGATATTGTACCATCCCAAAATATACTAATCTAACCAACTAAAAGCGGTACTATAACATACAATGCCATTCTAGATAAGTAAATAATTTGTATTTTTACACGAGGTAACTGCTTGGCAACACATAATCTGATTCCTAAATACGTCGAATGTATTGTAACAGTTTTGTCTTACTGCGCATTGCTCTTATAGTAATACCTCCAACATAACAGTTATGATCACCATTACACAGTTTAGTACAGTGATACAGATGCAGCAACGGCGGGTCGTGATGGTCAAGTGTATTCATAGCTCTCGTGGACGAGTCGCCCGCTAAAAGGCTAACACCAGAAAGCCATTTGCCACCGCTGGCTGTCGCCCTGACCGGAATTACATTGGCCCTTCACCCTTTCATCGAAAACGTCCACCCTTAGCACTAGAATACCCTTTTAGGAAACAACTATTCTTCTTCGTATATTCATAAACTAACAAATTAACACAGAGCGATTTGTAACGCTTTAGGTATTTTTTGTTATCATCAGTGTACAAAGTCTTGTCGTAAGACTCGTAACTATACATTTTTTTACTTTAAATATTTATTCTCCTAATTTTGTTTTTCCCCACCACGACCAACGCACGTATTCGTACACAATATTTTAAACCAGCAATAACAAAAATGTAAAATTTTATACTCGTCTACCAAACACGATAAAACCTATATTACTCTTATTATAGCTTTTATATTTGCTCACTTATATGGAACATCAGATTGGCGTTGGTTTATGTCGCCATAAATGTTATATTAGATATGACTTAGCGTGATTGCGTAGGTTCATAAAGCTTGGTGTGAAAGACTCATAGCTTACATTGAGTTGGGGTGGATCGCACAACATTAAATTAACCACAATGTTATATATCTATACTTTCATAGTGTGCCTTTCGACAAAGTAAATCCTTACAAGTTCCTATTGAAGGAAATAATATTTGTAACAAATATTAAACTTCTCAATTGGCACACAACTATAATAATGGTAAAACCCGAATTGCGAAGGTATATGCAACTTGAGTGTTAAACATTTAAGTTTTCATTGTGTTGGTTGGTTCATATATGCCTGATGAGGGAAAGTTTTCTCGCATTAATGGCGCGCCTCCCCTCACGGTAGACATTAATAAACAATTAATGTAGAATTACATTTGGCCTAATGGCCAATTACCCAGTTTCCATTTATATGCAAACTGGCAGCACCCTTTCACAAATTTC